TTCTCCACAACCGCTGGATCTCAGAGATTCACGATTTATCCTCACCCGAGTTTATCCTCGTCTTGGCTTCGTCATAGCAGAGTGGGCCGAGAGGTTCTCTACATGGTCGACCCCCTTGACGAGATCTGCAGCCAGAGCATTGTCGACTTCGACGGCCGCAAGCTCGTGGACATCAACAAGGCGGGGCTGGACCTGGACAAGACGGAGGACGAGAAGTCCAAGTTCGAGAAGCTTACGAAGGACTACGAGGACGGGGGTCCGGAAGCAAGTTGGCGCGATTGCTTCGTGATCCCTGCGTGGCCGTTCATCTCCCTTCCTCTTTCCACCACTTCCACCGTTAGTTGCCCTCCCCCGATGGGTTGTCTGGAGGATGCGTAGGATCCTGCCCACGAGTTTGCCCCCCCAGCTGCCCCTGGAGGAGGAGGAGGAGGAGGAGCAGGAGGAGGAGGAAGAGGAGGAGGAGGAGGAGGCAGAGGAGGAGGAGGAGGAGGATTCGCGTGGGTGCTCGTCCAATTTAGCCTGCGCGCATCTGCCCGTGCATGTTTGATATGCCCTGGTAGGTCCATATACAGCCGGCAAGAGGGTCAAGAACAGCCTCGGCTTCGGAGGTGTGCCCGAGTGCTTCGGCTTTTCTGCTTCCCCAGTGGTTCTCTTGGAAGCTTGCCGTTATCTGACCCAGTCCCGGCGCCCTTTTTTGTTGTCTGGTTCCGTCGCCGTCTTTTCCCCCGTTTCGGACCTGGCTTCAATCCCTGAGCAGTTACTTTGTTTCGGCGAACAGTTGGTTGTTGTTGTTGTGCTTATTTCTTCTGTTCCCAGGGTCAAGATTTTTGGAAACGGTCGATAGACGACCCTGCCGTTTCCAACACCCCCCCCGCCTTTGGATGTTCGTCGGTTTGGGTATCTGCATCTCGGCCCATGTCTTTCGGCAAAGGGTCTCGCGTTCTTGATCCACGCTCTAGTGGCCACGCTCTGACTGCTGGCCACACGGGCCCGCCGCGCAGGGCACCATCGGTTGCTCTTGCCCGCTGGATTCTCCGGAGGCTGCGTACGAGTGCGCCGCTCGTGGGGTCCCCTTTGTTCCGCCATGAATCGAAGGAGGAAAAACGCTATAAACGTAAACTGTTGGCGCTCCGCGCGGATTTTTGGATCCGCGCTGGGCCCTACCTGGCGGTGCCTCCGGCGCCGCCCCCGGCACGCTCCACGCGCCAGGGAGGGGGGAGTCCAGCGCAGATCCAAGAAATCTGCGCGGAGCGCCAACAGTTCATGTTTGTGCCGTTTTTTTTCTTGTTCTAGTGAAGGACGCCGGTCCTGAGGGAAGCGGGGCCCCGAGGTGTTTCACCATGCTCAGGCTCTCGGGGCCCTCGACGGGCCCCAGGACTTTCAAACAACTGCTCGGGGGTGAAAAAGCTGATCCTGGGGGAAATCCTGGGTCCAAGACCTGTTTGCCACAGGACCCACTACAGAGAGAGTGAGTGAGAGTGGGAGAGAGAGAGAGATATATATATATATATATATATATATAAGGAACATAAGGGTCCCCGCATAGGAGGTCTCCTAGAGACCTCTCCCAGACCTCCCCCCAGCCTGGGGGGAGGCCTTCCGGAGCCCCCCCCCCAGCTTGGGGGAGGTCTGGTACCCGACCTCCCGTGGTCCTCCACCAGGCCTGGGGGGAGGCCTCCCCCCAGGCTGGGGGGAGGCCTCCCCCAGGCCCCCCCCAGGCCTGGGGGAGGCCTCCAGAGGCAGGCCTCCCAGAGGTCTGGGGGGGGCCTGGGGGAGGCCTCCTGGAGGCCTCCCCCCAGCCTCGGGGGGGGCCTCCCCAGGGAGGTGTCCTCGCGACCTGGGAGACCTCCCCAGGGAGGCCTCCAGGAGGTCTGGGGGAGACCTCTGGGAGGTCTTCCCCCAGCCTGGGGGGAGGCCTCCGGGAGGCCTCCCCTGGTCCTCCTGGAGGCTTGTGAGAGGCCTCCCCCCAGACCTGGTGGAGGACCAGGGGAGGCCTCCGGGAGGCCTCCCCCCAGGCTGGGGGGAGGCCTCCCCCCAGACCTCCCACAGGACCAGGGGAAATCTCCCGGAGACCCCCGGGAGGTTTTTCCTGAGCAGGGGAGGTCTCCAGGAGGACCAGGGGAGGTTTGCCGGAGGCCTCCCCCCAGCCTGGGGGGAGGCCTGCAGGGTCGAATCGACCCGCATGTTAGGGTCAGCCCGTCCCGACTCGTCTCGATTGTTAGGGTCCGCCCTCTTGGCCCGACCCGATCCGCTCGTTCGGGTACTCGCGTGACAGGTCGACGATGTATTAAATTTTATAACCCGCCCGATCCGACCCGACCCGACCTCACCCACCCATTAGGGCCGGCCCGCCCGCCCGGCTTGACCTGCCCGTTACGGTGCGCCCGCGCGGTCCGACCCGTTCTGCTTGTAAGGGGCCCTTAAGTGCAGCGGGTCTGCTCCTCCTTCGGGGTTTAGGGTTTAGGGTTTAGGGTTTAGGGTTTAGGGTTTAGGGTTTAGGGTTTAGGGTTTAGGGTTTAGGGTTTAGGGTTTAGGGTTTAGGGTTTAGGGTTTAGGGTTTAGGGTTTAGGGTTTAGGGTTTAGGGTTTAGGGTTTAGGGTTTAGGGTTTAGGGTTTAGGGTTTAGGGTTTAGGGTTTAGGGTTTAGGGTTTAGGGTTTAGGGTTTAGGGGGTTTAGGGTTTAGGGTTTAGGGTTTAGGGTTTAGGGTTTAGGGTTTAGGGTTTAGGGTTTAGGGTTTAGGGTTTAGGGTTTAGGGTTTAGGGTTTAGGGTTTAGGGTTTAGGGTTTAGGGTTTAGGGTTTAGGGTTTAGGGTTTAGGGTTTAGGGTTTAGGGTTTAGGGTTTAGGGTTTAGGGTTTAGGGTTTAGGGTTTAGGGTTTAGGGTTTAGGGTTTAGGGTTTAGGGTTTAGGGTTTAGGGTTTAGGGTTTAGGGTTTAGGGTTTAGGGTTTAGGGTTTAGGGTTTAGGGTTTAGGGTTTAGGGTTTAGGGTTTTAGGGTTTAGGGTTTAGGGTTTAGGGTTTAGGGTTTAGGGTTTAGGGTTTAGGGTTTAGGGTTTAGGGTTTAGGGTTTAGGGTTTAGGGTTTAGGGTTTAGGGTTTAGGGTTTAGGGTTTAGGGTTTAGGGTTTAGGGTTTAGGGTTTAGGGTTTAGGGTTTAGGGTTTAGGGTTTAGGGTTTAGGGTTTAGGGTTTAGGGTTTAGGGTTTAGGGTTTAGGGTTTAGGGTTTAGGGTTTAGGGTTTAGGGTTTAGGGTTTAGGGTTTAGGGTTTAGGGTTAGGGTAGGGTTTAGGGTTTAGGGTTTAGGGTTTAGGGTTTAGGGTTTAGGGTTTAGGGTTTAGGGTTTAGGGTTTAGGGTTTAGGGTTTAGGGTTTAGGGTTTAGGGTTTAGGGTTTAGGGTTTAGGGTTTAGGGTTTAGGGTTTAGGGTTTAGGGTTTAGGGTTTAGGGTTTAGGGTTTAGGGTTTAGGGTTTAGGGTTTAGGGTTTAGGGTTTAGGGTTTAGGGTTTAGGGTTTAGGGTTTAGGGTTTAGGGTTTAGGGTTGAGGGTTTGGGGTTTAGGGTTTAGGGGGCTGCCGGAGGCCAAGACAGCCCGCTGCACTTAAGGGGCCCTTAAGTGCAGCGGATCTGCTCCTCCTTCGGAGGGGCTCCCGGAGGCCAAGACAGCCCGCTGCACTTAAGGGGCCCTTAAGTGCAGCGGATCTGCTCCTCCTTCGGGGGGGCTCCCGGAGGCCAAGGCAGCCCGCTGTACTTCAGGGGCTCTTAAGTGCAGCGGATCTGCTCCTCCTTCGGGGGGGCTCCCGGAGGCCAAGACAGCCCGCTGCACTTAAGGGGCCCTTGAGTGCAGCGGATCTGCTCCTCTTTCGGGGGGGCTCCCGGAGGCCAAGACAGCCCGCTGCACTTAAGGGGCCCTTAAGTGCAGCAGCGGGTCTGCTCCTCCTTTGGGGGGGGGGGGCTCCCGGAGGCCAAGACAGCCCGCTGCACTTAAGGGGCCCTTAAGTGCAGCGGATCTGCTCCTCCTTCGGGGGGGCTCCCGGAGGCCAAGACAGCCCAGCTGTATGTAAGGGGCCCTTGAGCCTTCAGAACACCAGATCTGCTCCCCTTTGCGGGGGCCTCCCGGGGCCCCAGACAGTCCGCCGTGCTTCAGGGGCCCTTAGGGTTTAGGGTTTAGGGTTTAGGGTTTAGGGTTTAGGGTTTAGGGTTTAGGGTTTAGGAAGTCTCGAGCGACAGTGCCCGAGTTGTGAGGACGTCTCGAGCGGCGGCGCTTTCTGCGGACACCTCCAGAGAGCCCAAAGCCGTCCCCCCCTTCCTTCCTGCCGACCCGTCCGGATCCAAGGGGTAGGAGGGAGTGGACGAGGAACCGATGGAAGAGGCCTCCCCCCAGCCTGAGAGGCGCCTCCCGGAGGCCTCCCCCTAGCCTGCGGGGGGGCCTCCCGGAGACCTCCCCCAAGGCTGGGGGGAGGCCCCCCAGGGAGGCCTCCAGGAGGTCTGGGGCAGGCCTGGGGGAGGCCTCCCCCCAGCCTGGGGGGAGGTCCGGGGGGGAGATCTGGTGGAGGCTTCCCCCAGGCCTCCCAGAGGCCTCCCCCAGCCTGGGGGGAGGTCTCCGGAAGGCCTCCCCCAGACCTCCGCGAGGCCTCCCCCAGGCCTGGGGGAGGACCAGGGGAGGCCTGCCGGAGACCTCCCCTGGTCCTCCCGGAGACCTCCGTCGTCCACGAGCCCTCCTCCGACGGCCGCGACCCCAGACCTGGGGGAGGTCTGGCGGAGGCCTCCCCCCAGACCTGGTGGAGGACCAGGGGAGGCCTCCTGGAGGCCTCCCCTGGTCCTCCACCAGGCCTGGGGGAGGTCTGGTGGAGGACCAGGGGAGGTCTGGTGGAGGCCTCCCCTACCTCGCCGGAGGGCCTCCTGGGAGGTCTGGTGGAGGACCAGGGGAGGTCTGGTACCAGACCTGGTGGAGGACCAGGTAGGTGTGGACCCTTACCAGGATCTGAGGACACGCCCGCTCCGTGCCCGAGCCACGGTGGCGGACTTCGTGCTCGCGGACAAAGTTCGCGAGTCAACAAGGACGACGATTCCGGCCTTGCAGACGATGCTGGAGGACCCCGAGCTCCGCGGTTGGATCGTCACGAGAGAGCTGAACTTCGACGACGCGATCCGCGGGCGGTACCGCAAGGAGCAGGGGTCGACCTCATGGTGTTTATGTAATTTCGCTGGCTGTTTTCGTTTCGAGTTTGTTCTCCATCGAAATCAAAACGGAAGACAGACAGAAGGACATCGAAAAAGAAGCTGGAAACGAAAAGCAGCGATTCGGTCGACCCCTGTCAAGGAGTACGTGAGCGTAAGCCATCGCTGGATGACCGAAGGTGCCCGTCCCGTCGCGCCCCGCCAGACCCCAAGGGAGTGCAGTTCGCCGCCATCAAGCAGTATCTGACGAAGCGCGACGAGGTCGATCGCAGGAGGAGGAGGAGGGATAACATGGGGGGAAGGGGGAGAAAGGGGGGAGGAGGAAGGAAGGCGGAGAAGGAGGCGGGGGAGGAGGCGGAGGGAAGAGGGAGGACGGTGGTTGCAGGACTCCCTTCATCAGCCAGTAGCATAGCATATCGAGGGAGGGAAGGAGGGAGGGAGGAATGGAGGGGAGAGAGAGAGAGAAAGAGAGAGAGAGAGAGAGACAGAGAGAGTGAGAGAGAGAGAGAGAGAGAGTGAGAGAGAAACAAAAAGAGGGAGGGTGGGAGGGAGGGAGGGAAGGAGGGAGGGAGGAGGAGGTTTGAGGAGGAGGAGGAGAAGGAGGCGGGGAAAGGGGATTGGGAGGACGAGGAGGAGGTGGAAGATAACGAGGGGGAGGAGGAGGAGAAGGAGGAGGAGGAGGATGAGGAGGAGGAGGAGGAGGGGGAGGAGGAGGAGGAGGAGGAGGAGGAGGGGGAGGGGCGAGGAGGAGGAGGAGGAGGAGGTGGAGGAGGAGGAGGAGGAGGGGGAGGGGGAAGGGGAGTTTGAGGATACGGAGTATGAGTATGAGGAGGAGGAGGAGCAGCCAACAGCAGGAGGAGGATGAGGAGGAGCAGGATGGGAGGATGGAGGAGAAGGAGGAGGATGATGAGGAGTAATCTGACGAAGAAGGGGGAGGAGGAGGAGGAGGAGGAGGAGGAGGAGGAGGAGGAGGAGGAGCAGGAGCAGGAGCAGCAGCAGGAGGAGGAGCAGGATGAGGATCAGGAGCAGGAGCATGAGCAGGAGCAGGAGCGGGAGGAGGAGGAGCAGCAGCAGCAGCAGCAGCAGCAGCAGCAGCAGCAGCAGCGGCAGGGGTAGGAGGAGGAGGAAAGGAAGGAGGAGGATGAGGAAGAGGAGGAAAAGCAGGAGGAGGAGGAATAAGCGGAGGAATTGGAGGGCGAAACACGGCGAGGTCAAGTACTTGTGGCTTGACTGGCCGTGCATGTGGCAGGCGAACAAGGATGAGATGAGGGCTGTTTGCGACACCAGTAGTTGGCAGTTGGGGGTGCCCTCGTCGCGACGGCTGGACGCAGCGCGAAAAACGTGTGCGATTGGACCCCAGGAGGGGCGCTGGGGAATTCTGTGGAGCCGATTTCGAACTGTCGTTGTCTCAAATTCCCCCTCTTTGAAAGGAGGGCCAGCGTGAAATCACTGTCGACGAGAAGGCCGAGTTCGACCTCATGCTCAGCGAGGTCAACATGCTGTACCTCGGTTGCAGGGTCGTCATCTTGCTGGACATGACTTACTTGTCCAGGTTTTGGACACTGTACGAAGCGTGGCTCTCCCAAATGAAGCCAACTTCGACAGGGCTCAAGCCAGCACTCATCTCTGACGCTTCACGCTGCGACGTGGTTCCCATCATGGGAGCGAACGATGCGTTCAGGTCAGCGCTCCTGAGCACCATTGCGAATCAGATGTCTTCGGCGTCCCTTGCTGCCAAGTACCTCCGTAACGACGACATTTTGGTAACGAACGCCTCGGACAAGGAGAAGCAGCTCGATCGGGTGAGCGGGCTCGACTACCGTGTCATCCAGGTCGAGATTGATGCTCAGGCAGAGGCAGGGAGCACAGTTCAGATGCAAAGAGTCCTCGCGGCCGGCTACGGGCACAGCCTGGGCCTGCTGAAGGACGGCACGGTCACCGCCTGCGGCTGGGACGAACCATAACCAGAGGTCCGGCGTGGCCCAGTGGAGGGACGTCGTGCAGATCGCGGCCGGCGGATGGCACAGCCTGGGCCTGCTGAAGGACGGCACGGTCACCGCCTGCGGCTGATGACTCTGACGGCCAGAGGTCCGGCGTGGCCCAGTGGAGGGACGTCGTGCAGATCGCGGCCGGCGGATGGCACAGCCTGGGCCTGCTGAAGGACGGCACGGTCACCGCCTGCGGCAGGGACGCCAACGGCGATGACTCTGACGGCCAGAGGTCCGGCGTGGCCCAGTGGAGGGACGTCGTGCAGATCGCGGCCGGCACGAGCACAGCCTGGGCCTGCTGAAGGACGGCACGGTCACCGCCTGCGGCAGGGACCACAACGGCCAGAGGTCCGGCGTGGCCCAGTGGAGGGACGTCGTGCAGATCGCGGCCGGCTTTTGGCACAGCCTGGGCCTGCTGAAGGACGGCACGGTCACCGCCTGCGGCTATGACTCTGAAGGCCAGACGTCCGGCGTGGCCCAGTGGAGGGACGTCGTGCAGATCGCGGCCGGCGGACTGCACAGCCTGGGCCTGCTGAAGGACGGCACGGTCACCGCCTGCGGCGATGACTCTGAAGGCCAGACGTCCGGCGTGGCCCAGTGGAGGGACGTCGCGCAGATCGCGGCCGGCTACAAGCACAGCCTGGGCCTGCTGAAGGACGGCACGTTCACCGCCTGCGGCTGCAACGGTCGTGGCCAGGCGCCTGGCAAATGAGGGTTGTGAAGTAACTTTGGGCAGGCGCAACCTCGGGCAGGCTTAGCCATGTTTTCGTCGACGCCGACACCTGTTACACGACGGCCAGGTAGGAGGCGCGACAAGGAACGATTAGGAGCTCTGGGCGCAGGCGGCTCGGCACTCGCTGGCACGGAAGCCGGCGTGCCTTTGTCCCCGCCCGGCCGGTGCTGGAACAGACCTTTGCTTGGCCTCTGTTCCAGCACAACCGACAGAAAAGCGAAGAAGTTGGCCTCAGCACAACCCCTCAGCACAACCCTCCGGCACAAACCCTCAGCACAACCCCTCAGCACAACCCCCGGGCACAACCCCTCATCACCACAACTCCTCAGCACAACCCCTCAGCACAACCGCACAACCCCCAGCACAACCCTCCAGCACAACCCCCAGCACAACCTCCAGCACAACCCCCAGCACAACCCCCAGCACAACCCCACAGCATCCAGCACAACCCTCCAGCACAACCCCTCAGCACAACCCCTCAGCACAACCCCCCAGCACAACCCCTCAGAACGACCCCGCAGCACACCCCCGAGCACAACCCCCAGCACAACCCCCCAGCAAACCCTCAGCACAACCCCCCAGCACGCCTCCCCCCAGCACAACCCTCCAGCACAATACCTCAGCACAACCCCTCAGCACAACCCTCCGCACAACCCCTCAGCACAACCCCCCAGCACAACCTATCAGCGCAACCCCTCAGCACAACCCCTCAGCACAACTCCCCAGCACAACACCTCAGCACAACCCCTCAGCACAACCCCTCAGCACAACCCCCCAGCACAACCCCTCAGCACAAACCCCCGGCACAACCCCTCAGCACACCCCCCCAGCACGACCCCTCAGCACAACCCCTCAGCACGACCCCTTCAGCACAACCCCTGCCGGTCGCACAACCCCACAGCACAACGCCCCAGCACAACCTCTTCCGCACCTGGGGGGTGATCGCGCTGGGGGGTGGTCGTGCTGGGGATTGTGCTGGGTGGTTGTACTGGGTGGTCGTGCTGGTGGTCGTGCTGGATGGTCGTGCTGCGTGGTGGTGCTGGGGGGTCGTGCTGGGGAATCGTGCAGGGTGGTCGTGCTGGGTGGTCGTGCTGGGTGGTCGCGCTGGCTGGTCGTGCCGGGTGGTCGTGCTGGGTGGTCGTGCTGGGTGGTCGTGCTGGGTGGTCGTGCTGGGGGGGGGTCGTGCTGGGTGGTCGTGCTTGGGGGTGGTCGTGCTGGGTGGTCCTGCTGGGCAGTCGTGCCGGGTGGTCGTGCTGGGTGGTCTTGCTGGGTGGTGGTTCTCGGTGGTCGTGCTGGTTGGCTGTGCCGGTGGTCGCGTGGCAACACCCGATTCGTTAAGAAATTCGGGGGCGAAAGCTGGGTTTCGCACCGGGGTTAAGAAATTAACCGAAGCTGGGTCTCAATTTCTTAACAAATAATTTCTTAACACAAGTTATGAGTGTAATTTTAGTGCAATAGTTGTGGTAAAATCAATGTCGTCCCATCCATGTTGTGCAATGTTAGCCAGCGTGGATCTCCCACACCGCGTGTCTTCTAGCAACGTATGTTGTGCAATCTATGTGTAGCAGTGGGCATGGTGCAATTTACGTTGTGCAAGGTTTGTTGTGGAATCTGTGTTTGGGAGCATCTGGGAGCAGTCAATATGGTACCACAGATGTAGTGCAATCCATGCTTTCGCGATTTATATACAGACACAGATCGACACATTGTTCAATCTATGTTGTGCAGTATGTGTGGTGCAAACTGTTTGCTTCAGGTCGTGTGATGCGCAATCTGCGTTGTGCAATCTAGGTGGTGTAAAACATGACGTGCAGCATCTTGTAGGCAATATTCATTGCGCGTTCCATGGTGTGCAAGCCATGTCTTGCAAGATTCGGGATGCAATAATTTCGCTGCAACGTATCTTTGGGACGCACTTGGTCGCCCCAGCTTTGGGCATATGCCCTGGCTATGTTTGTCACGGATTGCGCTTGCTTGTCCCGGCCGCGTGGCCGTTGCAGGCATGTTCCCATTCAGGTTGATACGTTTTGCGGGAATTCGTATCTTCAGGCAGGTGTGCTCTTCTCCCCCCTTCCTCGCTCCTCCTCCGTCGGGTCGCAAAGTATTCCTCATCTGTAGTGCCACCCGTGTGCTGTTGTTCCCTGCTTTGAAAGGGGGTCCAGGGGCATGGAGTGCTCGGCATGGTGCAACAAGGAAGTTGCATTTGAGACGCGTTTTATTCCTCATATGTAGTGTCACCCGTGTTTTGTTGCTCCCTGCTTTGAAAGGGGTCCAGGGGCATGGAGTGCTCGGTACGGTGCAACAAAGGTTGCATTTGAGACTCGTCTTTTTTCTCATCTGTGGTGTCATCTCGCTCTGGGAACAAAGACAAATCGAAGATCGTGCGCTGGAAAAAAAAATCGCTGCAACGTATCTTGTGCAATGTATGTTATGCAACATAAGTGGTGCAATTTCTTCGGCGCGCTCCGCTCTGTGCAATCCATGTGGTGCAATCTACGTTGTGCTATATGCGTGGTGCAATACATGTATTTGTGCAATCAACGGTGACGGCGACGGCAAAGCAACGGCGACGGGCGGCGACGAGGAGGTGACGGGGCGGCGACGGCCGGCACGGAACCGCCAGAACCTCACACAGGCCCAGTTCTTCAGACCAGAAAGACGAGCCCTTTTGAACAAACACAGTTTTGGGAATCGAGGTGCTGCAAACTTCGTTGTGCACTATATGTAATGCGTTGTAGAATGTGAGCGATCCAAAAGCGCGTTGCAGGCGCGAATCATAGATCGTGTAATCGATGTGCTGGAATCTACGTGGGGCAATCTATGAGGTGCATTTGACTACCCTGCACCGCGCTTGACCACTCCACTGCTCGCGCAAACATCCCACCCACCCACCCACAACTTGGTTTGCAAAATCTCTTAAGACCGTGACGGTGGGTACCACATGGCACTTGGCAACGGCAGCGACGCCGACAACGACAGCGAGAACGACTTCGACGACTTCGACGACGCCGACAACGACGACGACGACGACACCGACGACGACGACGACGACGACGTCAACGACGCCGACGACGACGTCGACGACGACGACGCCGACGTCGACGACGACGAAGATGACGACGACGCCGACGCCGACGACGACGAAGACGACGACGACGTCGCCAACGAAGACGACGAGGGAGGAGGGAGGACGACGATGGCGACAACGACGACAACGACGACAACGACGAGAGAGGAGGGAGGACGGCGACGACGCGAACGACGACAAAGGAGTAAGGACGGCGACGCCGACGACGACAGCGACGAGGGAGGAGGGAAGACGACGACGACAACGACGAGGACGACGACGACGACGGCGACGAAATAGGAGGGACGACGACGAGACGCCGACGACGGACGACGACGACGACGAGGGAGGAGGAGGAAGGACGACCACGGCGACAACGACGACGGAAACGACCACGACGCCAAAGAGGACGACGACGACGAACACGAGGAAAGACAGAGGACGACGTAGGCGACGACGACGACGACGACGCGGGAGGAGGGAGGACGGCGACGACGACGACGACGACGACGCAAGAGCGCGCGCGCACGCTTTTGTTGAAAATCCGTGTTGCGAAACCTTGGGTTTTTGTAGGTTTTTTGGACGCGCGATTTCGAAATCCTTCCGAAACCGATGGGTTTTGAAGGATTTCGGCATACGCGCGCGACGACGCGCGCGTCTGCACTTCGTTTCATTTTTTGCAGAGGATTCTCGCGACCGCACACGGGCAAGGGCGTTCGACAGATTTCGACATGCGCGCGCGCGACGCGTTTGGTAGCATTTTGTGAAAATCTTGAAAAACCCATGGTTTTCTTCAGATTTCACAAGAGCTCGCGCGGAAGTTTTTGTTTGCACATCAGTGTTGCGAAACCCTGTGTTTTTGTATGTTGTTCTGGAAACTCGATTGCGAAATCCTTCCGGCACCGAGGGTTTTTGAAGGATTTCGGCATGCGCGCGCGGCGACGCGCGCGTGTGCATTTCGTCCCATTTTTTTTGCAAGGGATTCGTGACAAAGTGTTATGTTAGAACAAAATGTCACCGCATAGTGTTTTTTACAAGGGAACCTCAGGGGGGGGAACCCGGCCTAGCTGGTATGGTATGATTTCATATCTAGGATGGACGAGTGTGCAGAAAATATGTGTATATATATATGAAATTATATTATCCCAGGGGGAAGCGTTAAGTCCGGGGGGGGGGGTGTAGAGTTTATTTCCTTTTTAGAAAGAAGAATATATGTGGCTTAATATACGCGGTGTAACGTATGTCGTGCAACCCATGTTGTGCATACTATTTTATGCGAACGATGTTGGTGTCCAATGTACGTTCTGCAACATGTGTGGTGCAACCTGTGTTGTGTAATCCATATTGTGCAATCTATGTGGTTGTGCAATAGAGGTGGTTGTGCAATATCTGCTGTGCCGTCCATGTGGTGGAACCTACGTTATGCAATATCAGTGGTGCACTCTGTGCTGTGAGCGATCAAGAAGCGCGCCGTTGGCGTTTTCTTTTCCGTGCGACCTACGCGGTGCAATCCAATGGTGGCGACGGGCGGCGACGGGGCGGCGACGGGGCGGCGACGGTGGCCACATAGCTGCCAGACCGAAGACGCGGCCCAGACGACTGGCGGCGGCAAGGCGGCGACGGGGAGGCGACGGCGGCCACATAGCCTGCAGGCCGAAGACACGGCCCAGTTTCTGATAACAAAAATGTGAATCCCCAAGTGCAAGCTTTGCGTGGTGATTATACATATAATCATACCTGTGTACATATACATACACACGCATGTGTGTATGTCTGTGTATGTACATGTGCACCACCCAGTCTCTGCAATCGTGCTTGGGATCACTACACCACCCATTCTCTACGATGTGTTGTATCTCTCTTTTTCTTTTCATTATTCCTTCTGCAGTGCAGTGGCGGACGTATCCTTCATTGCACGTTCCGACAAAGTTCGGTCGCAGTTCAATCCTACATCTGTGGACCGCCCTTGAGGTTCCTCTGCGCCGTTGGCTTAAAAGTGTATGTATATGTACACTGGTATATGCACCTCTACGTGTGTCCATAGATTTGCATACATATGTGTGTATAATGAAGATGTATACATCTGTGTGTTGCCGATTCTTGAGGACCTTTTGATCGCACAGGGCAATTCGCATTGAATCCCAATAAACCTCCCACTCGAAACGGCCCGCCAGGCGTTTCCGTGACCACATCATTTCGAAAAT